CATCAGTTTTCCTGCTCCTCTGATGCTGCCTGACCTGCTGTGTTCTTTCATGTCCACACCTTGTTATCTCAGACTCCAGCATTGGCAGTTCCTACTATCTCTTTATGAAGTCTGGTGCCAAATCTTGTTTGTAACATTCCTATGACCCACCTCACACAGTTAACTGCGGTAAAGGTGTTACAAATATTTGTTGGTTTGTTGAGTGTTTTCAATGTCTTCATTGAATAAACTCAAAATAAAAGTTCAGACTTCAAGTCATTTTGTTTGAAGAGCCATAATTTGCAACAAAAATATATCTCACTTGTAACTTATATTTTGATAAGGTTCCTCATAAGGGGGTAGTGGACAAAGTTAAAGCACATGGGATAGGGGAAATATATTATTTTGGATCAAGAACTGGTTGAAAGTTAGGAAACATAGGGTGGGAATAAATCTTTATTTTTCTGAGTGGCAGACAGTGACCAGTGGAGTACCTCAGGGATCAGTGCTTGGGCCCTAGCTATTCACGATTTATAAATGACCTGCATGAAGTAACCAAAAGCAACATTTCCAAATTTGCTGACAACACAAATCTGGCAGGGTTGTGAGGAAGATGCAAGGATGCTTCAAGGTGATCGAGACAAGTTGAATGAATGGCGTATAACTGGAACAATTCATTCCTACTGAATTTTGCCGGTCCATTGTTCGAAATCCCCTGTTATCTTTTGATATAGGTAGGATGGTTTCACTCCCCTTTGCAGAACAGGTTTTACATTTAAGTCTTTGTTCCAACTACACCAGTAGTTGAGCAGTTTCATTCTCACAGAGACATTTGAAGGTTTCATTGTGAGTTATATATTCTTGAGGTTGGTTGGCTCACTGAGCTGGTTTGTTGTTCCACAGACGTTTTATTACCCTGCTGGGTAACATCATCAATGCAGCCTCCTGTTACCCAGCAAAGTAATGAAATGTCTGCGGAACAACAACAAACCAGCTCGGCGAGCCAAGCAACCACAACATCCACAACCCGAGCTACAAATCTACTCCAAAACCTTACAGCTATATATTCTGACTGACAAATCCTTATGTCCAGGTGATCATCCCCTTCAATAGTCTTTTCTGAGTGTAATAATTAAACATTCCTTCTACATTCTTCGAAATCACATGACACCAGGTTATAGTCCAACAGGTTTATTTGTAAACACTAGCTTTTGAAGCCTCACTCCTTCTTCAGGTGTTAGTGAGAGAGATCGTTTCAGACACAGAATTTATAAGCAAAAGATCAAAGGGTCACACCACTGATGAGGATGCATTAAACAAACCAAAGATGCTGTTAAATCTTTAATCAGTTCAAAGGTTTTAATTGATTAATATGTATATGTAAATCTCTGAATTCCTTTCTAGTCATTGTCTTGAGGAATTAAAGGTTTTATCAGTGTAAAGAAGAGGTGTGAGGCCTTGTTTAGTTTGGAGTCAGACTAGTTTTATTTCTAAAGTAGGAATTTATAAAATGCCACATTGACTGACTGTCTGTAAATTGTGTGCTTTTTGAACAAAATAAAATGTATCTGCAAATACAAATTCACCCATAGATTCACAAATGTGTTTCCATGTGCGTGTGTATGGGTACAAAGAGAGAAAGAGTGTGTGTGTGTGGGAGAGAGTGTGTGTGAAAGGAATTTGGGGATATACATATACATATTTATCAGTAAAATCCTTCTAACTGATTAAAGATTTAACAGCATCTTAGGTTTGTTTAATACATCCTCAACAGTGGTGTGACCCTTTGATCTTTTACTTATAAATTCTGCATCTGATACTACCTCTCTCACTAACACCTTAAGAAGGAGTAAGGCTGCGAAAGCTTGTGTTTTCAAATAAACCTGTTGGACTGTAACCTGGTATTGTGTGATTTCTGATCTTGTCCACCCCAGTCCAACACCAGCACCTCCACATTGTTGTATATTCTTGAGAGTGTATCTACTTGCAGGAGATATGATTTTGATGGCTATTTTAAAGTATCTCAGCTCATTTTTAGCTGTTCTGCTCTCAGGCCCAGAGCTTTTGTGCTGGTTGATGAAATTTCAAGGATTAAAAGTCTGTATTCTATATTATCATGACAATAGAATGCACAGCACAGAAACTAGCCATTCATCTCAATTGGTCAATGCTAATCATGAAATACAGCAAACAACACTGCTCTGTCTTACCCTTTCATCATAATCTATTCCATTCTCCCTCAAATGCTTCTTTAGATTCCCCTAATCTGCATCTTTGCCTTTCATTTTACCAACTCCATATGAAATTGCACATTGTTATCCCTCGAGGGAAAGAAATGTCTTATTCTATTTCATTTTTGTTAAACTTACCTGCTGCAGTGTAAAGGCTAAACTGTTGAGTGAAAAAATGGTTGACCTCTTAAGAATCAAATAAACCTCAAGTTTTGAAACAGTGCACCCAATAGGAGAGCAACGCTCGGAAATGTAATAAATATTAAAGATTCTAAAGTGAGAAGAACAATTGTTTCTGAGCAATCACCAGAGAAACAGACATTCTAACAGAATAATTGTGGCATCATACAATGAGAGGTACTTTGACCTTTAATCTTTAGTATGTCTTATGTTCCTTGACTTCAGACTGCAATTTTCTTGCCTGACAAAATCAGTAACGTTAAATTTAAACCTTAGATTGTTTGTTCAATACAGAACGTATTTTCCTGTTCAGGCTATTCCATTGACATGACCTATGGTCACCTCCAAGTAGCATAGGTCCAAAGTCCCCTACGCTTTAACAGAGGCACACATCCAGAATCATGCAGAAATTCAGTTTTATAGCTCAATCAAAGCAACAAATTTCTGTTCAAAGTTCTTTATACCTTTTTTTGTAAAGAAAGGTTCCATTTGTCTTTTTCAGTCTCTGTGGCCTTGCTGCCTACCCCATCAGATCCTCTAACTTAGTGGAAGCCAGTGAACCAGGTGCAGCATTCATTTCTGTGTTTTCTGGTATCATTCTTAAAGGGTCGATCTGAGTATTTCCAGGTCACTGAGACAGAAGACCCTGATTTAAGATAATTGGTGAAATAACCATAGGCAACATGAGGAAATCATTGCTTAGATGGCAAGTTGTCATCTGGAATTGACAGCTTAGATTTAGTTTTATTGTCACGCGTATATAAAAATAGTGAGAAGTGTTTTTTTGCATGCAAAACGCAAAATATCACCACACACCAGCACCATCTTGAAACATTGAATATAATGCAAATTTTTTTTACTGCAATAGAGTTTGTCTTTTCCTCTTCTTCTTGTTACCCTCTGCTACTCCTCCGTTTGCTGCGTAAGGTCGGCCGGGGTCTCTATAACAGGCTCCGGCGTCTCAGTTATGGGCCCATGGGTGAGCAGATTTAGAAGGAGCGTTTAAAAGAGATCTGGATAAGTGTTAGGACACAAATTTGTAAGACTATGGAGAATTGAGGAGGTGGTGGCATATGGTAATGAAACTGGATGAGTAATTCAGCAAGCCTGTTTTTGGTTTGAATTCCACCTTTGCACATGGTGAAATTTGAGTCCGACAAAAATCTCAAATTAAAAGCTAGCCTAATAGCGACCTTGTAACCACCATCAATTGTTGTGAAAATCCATCTGCTTCACTATTGTCCTTTGGGGAAGTAAATCTGTTGTTGTAACTTGGTCTGGCCTCTAGGTAACTCCAAACGCTTAGCATTGTGGTTGACTCTTAACCACCTTCTGGGCAATTAGGGATAACGGCTAACAGGTGTTGGTCTAGCCAGAGATACCTGTATCCTATGAATGAATTTTTTTTAAAAAGCAGGGAGTAGCACTAAATGAATAGCTCTACCAAGCAGCTGGCACACTTACAATGGGCCAAATAGCCTTCTTTTACACAGTGCAATCCTGATTACACAAACAACACCAAAATTCAGCCTTCCTTGTGTCGAAGTGAACAAAGTCTAACTCTATTATTAAAGGATAATGTTCTGACTTCACACTACTGACACACAGTGCATTTCATCACAAAACTTACACAATTTGAATTCTGATTGCATTTCTAATTAAATATTATTTGCCTTTTTTCAGTATTCTTAGATGTTTCTAAAATTGGTAGATAATTCATACAAAAGGGCCATGGACATGCTTCCATATTTCAATATGCCATTCATTCAAAAAGCATTTTTAATCCGCTGAGCAATAAAGCAATGTAAAAGGTCCTATGCTAGATTTACTTAATTTCTTAAAAGACATTGCATTAATATAGCTGTTTTCACAACTTCAGGACATTGCAAAGTGTTCTACAGCCAAATTAGTGATGTCACTATTCTAATTGAAAGTGCAGTGAATTTCAACATAGCAAACTCCAACAAACAGCAAGAGAGAAACATGTTTAAGAGTTCCTTGTTCAAGAATAAATGTTGACTAGAGCAAGGGGGACTCCCCACTGTTCTCTGAGTAGTGGCAATGAGATCTTTTACATCCACCTCAGAGAATAAATAATTGTCTTTAGTTTAGCATCCTTTTTGAAAGAATGTACTCTTACCACTGTATTGAAATGGGGTGTCAGCTAATTTTGGCACTTATGACAAAACTGATGTCATCATTAACTTTTGGATTCTGATGAAGCTTTAATGGGACATTACATTTGACCACAAAGTTCTAGGGCTAGAGAATAATTAAACTAGATTCTGTTGTGACTTGCTGTGGTAACATGCTAGAAATTGACCCCTGCTATTCCTGGAGTCGTTGCAAAAGTTAAATATTTTAAAAAGTATACAATGTTTCACAATTTACCTGACTTTCAAACTCAGGTTGATAGAAATGGTGAATCCGGTTTCTGCATTGTGCAAGAATCACTGTTTATTTACTTAATTAATTAGACTCTAGATACAGGTAAACAGTTGTAAGCTGTCAAAGGGGTTGGTTAACTCAGTTGGCTGGATGGCTAACTTGAGATGACAACAGCATGGGTTCAATTCATGATATCAGCTAAAACTAGCATGAAGGTCCCACCTTCTCAAGCTCTCCCTCACCTGAGGCATAGTGAGCCTTGAGTTGACCTCACTTGTCTCTCTCTCTCTCTTTAATGAGAGATGGGACTATAGTGATTTCACTATCAACTGTCAGCATATAACACTAATTAAAACTCTAATCCCCTTACAAACAAACAGGGTAAAATAGGTTATGGACAGAGGGAAAGATAGTTTAGTAGTCTTTGTTCCCAGGTTCTATTGTTACAAATCAATTGCACAGTTGCTGGCAAGTAAAAAGGTCTCTGGCATCAATAACTAGTCACTAGACCAATCAACTTCATGTTGCCAGCAAAAGCTGTATTGGTACACCCAAAACTTCAAATCATGTACAGCCGCAAAATGATTGTTGGTTCAAACAGTTCAAATATGAGACGTAGATGTCAGGTTGGTTGCTTCTCAAAACTGAAGCCACTCTTTTCAACAGTGGTTTTTAAAACAGCTCTTTCTTGTTTCCATCCCCAGTTTTTAAAAACACAAAACAAAAAGACATGGTCCTTATACTGTGTATTCTCATGTACCTTCTATTGGAGCATACACTTGAGGCTCATTTTCTGTTTATTTCTCTCAATCTTTCGTTAACCTGTATCTTGTATTGTTATGAAAAAAAATGCCAGTTTTAAAGGATTTATTTAAGAGTTCAAAGCTTCAGCAATAGCTCAACTATCTATGATTGTAAATAGTTCAGCCATATCACAAAATCGGTACAACATGAAAGGTAGCCATTGCTAATGCTGACTGCCATACACAGAATATTGAAATGGCTGCACACATGTAAATTAGAGGGAATATTGTCTAAGGCCTCAGCTTTTTACAATTTACATCAGTACTGAAATGTGGAAGGCGAAAGCATTGCAGCTAAATTCAAAGATGACGCCAAGATAGGTAGAAAAATACGTTGTGAAGAAGACATAAGGAGTTTACAGAAGGATATAGGTAGGTTGAGCGATTTGGCAAAAAATCTGACAGATGGCTTGTATATTGTGGGAAATATGATGTTGTTCACTTTGTCACCAATGCAAATGCAGAGTATTACTTAAGTGGAGAAAAACTGCAGAATTGCAAGGTGCCGAGTGATTTAGATGTTTTGGTGCATGGGTTTACAAAAAGCTATTGTCCCCAGAGTTTCGGAGGCTGAGGGGTGACCTTATAGAGGTTTATAAAATCATGAGGGCCTTGCATGGAGTGAATGGGAGGGTCTTTTTTCCCAGTGTGAAACTAGAGGACATTGGTTTAAGGTGAGACGGGAAAGATTTAAAAGGGATCAAAGGGGTGACTTTTTTCACACAGAGGGTAGTACATGCATGGAATGAGCTGCTAAAAGGAGCTGGTGGAGGGCTGGCACAATTACAACATTTAAGAGGCATCTGAATAGAGACATGAATAGGAAGGATTTAGAGCGATATAGGCCAAATGCCAGCAAATGGGACTAGATTAATTTAGGATATCTGGTTGGTATGGACGAGTTGGACCGGGACAGTCTGTTTCCATGCTGTACATCTCTATGACTCTAGGTACAACATGTAGTCAAAAACTTTAATGAAATACTATCCCTTTTTACAAGAATTGTACATAAAAGTTAGGATGTGATGCTTCAGTTATCCAGGGCATTGGTGAGAACCCATTTCAAACACTGTATGCAGTTTTGACCTCCTTATTTAAGGAAATGCATAAATGCACTGGAGATGGTTCAGAAGAGGTTTGTTAGATTGATGCTTGGAATGAGCAACTTGTCTTACGAGAATACGTTGGACAGAGTGGACTTGTTTCCAGTGCAATTTAGGAGAGGGTGACTTGATTGAAGTGTATATGATAAAAAAAATGGTCTTGACAAGGTGGATGTGGAAGCAATATTTCTTCTTGTGGGTCAGTGCAGAATCAGTGGACACTGTTTTAAAACCATGGGCTGCCCCTTTAAAACAGAAGTTGAGAATTTTTCTCTCAGAAGATTGTCTGACTTTGGAAGTTTCTGCCTCAGAAGGCAGGGTCATTGAATATTATAAAGGTAGAGGTACATAGATTCTTTAAAGTCAAGGGAATTAAAAGTTATCAGGAGTCAATGGGAATGTGAAATTTGAAACACAAACCAATCAGTGAAGATTTGATTGACTAGCAGAGCAGCTCAAGAGGCCGATTGTGTACTTCTGTTCCTATTTTGTATCCTCATATCAGTACTCTTATACTCCATGCTCCTACTAATAAAGCCTTGAACACTGTTTTCTTATTAACTGCTCTCATCCTGTCCTTACGCATGATTCATATAAACTAGAAGGTTCCAAATTTCATTGAAAATCTATGCTAAATTAGTTGAATTTAGCTAGAATGCCAATGTTAGTGCTATTGCTTATTTCTGTATAGATTAAACAAGTAAAATGGGGCAGAGGTCCTAAACACTATCCACTGAGACCTTCAAGAAATATGAATATATGGTAGGAATCAGACCAGTATAGTTTTTTTCACTTCTTTTCATTTCTCACTATTTGCTGACACTCACAGATACAGTCTTCATAGAAAGATTACTGTTGCGTATGAGGTACAAGAGGTCAACCAAAAAATCTTATCCAATAAGAAATCAATTGTGTCTTTTAGACAGTGGTAAAGATTGAATACTGTCTTCAAGAAGGAAAAGAGAAGGACCACAATGAAACTACGCCCAGCAATGTATGAAAGTCTTCAAGATGGACGAAAACTGACAGAAAAAAATCAGAGGAATTTGTAAAATTCCAAATGTTGTATAAAAGTACTTTTTAAAGTCAAGATGCTTTCAATTCCTGGCACAATGCACATAATATTTAATTCACAAAGAAATACCCATTTGTTGATTCCATAGCAACAAAGCATGGTACAAATGTCCTCCAAATGTCCTTATATAGTTGTGAATGAACTCTAGCTAGCCACTCTAATTATAAGATCCTTAACATTTCTTTACCCTTGACTTTCAGCAGTCAATCAGGCTTTATTGTTCAGATGCTTTGAACAGACCATTAGCTATCACCTTGGAACACACAATAGTTATATGTAATGTGCCCCTGCATTATATTTTGGTTCAATACAACAATTTCAGTTATTTGCAAATCTTATTGTGGTTGCATTGGTTGTAACCAGTACAGGAGATCAAATATTTTAACTTTTTTAAAAAAAGTGTAGCACTTGCTGAATAGACAAGGAACATAGCCATAACGGTTGGAGATTAATATTAAAATTTAACCACAAGTCCATGTCTACACTTACATACCTTGGTTTAATGTTCAGGTTTGTAAGGAAATGGGTGAACATTGCACATGAATCTAATCATTCGATTTTTGCCATATGTGGCTATATTCTGTATTACTTGTTCATACGATTGGAATTTTTTTTAGAGAGAAAGTTGTCCCCTGCTACATTCCAGATCATTGTGTTTTTGCAGTTTTCAAAATGACCTATGATTTAGAAGAGGAACAAATTAACCAGATGGCAACACATATGTACCTGGACTAAAAATATTAACATAAATACTAAAAGATAGTCTTTTATTTAAATTAATTCAAGTCAAATACATTATATCTTTCTGGATGATAAACGTTATTCAAAAGGATCCCTTCACAATAGGTCATTCCCTGTGGTCAAAATGATTCCCTATTTGCATTTTGTCCAATTTGTCCTTCAGATTCACAAACTCATCTACTTAATGCAGGAGATAAATTACTTCCATATCCCAGAGCTCCCTATGGGAAACTCCCCATATTTTCCATCCCAATTATAGGCACACTGATCAAGATGCGCAATTATTTGAGAAAATCTTGGAAATTCCATAGAAAATATATAGATATCACGTGCCTATGATTTTATGGATTACATAATAGGACAATATTGTTAATCAGTACCTGTACATTTATAAATGTATTAATACCATCTAGTGGCAGGAAGGAGGCATCACAATTTCTTAAAAAATACTAGTCACATGAGATTATTCTGGAATCATATTTAAAGGATCAGAGGACAGGATGCTGACATTGTCTGATACTACTTTTCAACATTATTTATTCATTGGAGTGTAACTATCTGTCTACAGCATGACTTGCAACCTTTGATGGTCTGTATTGCAAAACTTCTCACCTCACAGGGGGCAAAAAATACACATTATTGTTCTATACCAGGAAATGGTTGTTCCTCCCATTCAATTTAATAAGGATCAGTAGAAGATCTTGATCTAAAAATGCTGACTTCTAAACAAACAGAAATCAAGAACTGAAACGACTCTAATCTGACACCTCACTGAAGAGAGCTAGAGTATTTTTTCTCCTGTACAGGTCTCTGATGTAATGTAAATACACCAACAGTGGAACAGTTTCGTATCTTTAAAGTGTTTGTCTTAGAGAGTGATTCATTCTGCTCCAATTTGCAGCTACATCCAGATAACAGTTGTTCTCGTTTGCCATTCTTTACTTCATGTCATCCTTATTTTACAAGTTGATCAAGCACAGCAATATGACCAAAAGCTTGATTTAATCCTTTGGCTGTCTTTGTGTCAACTCTCCTTGTTGACTGTGCTGGCAACACACAGAGTAATACCTACAATAATCAGCAGCATTCCTATCAGAGCCTCTGCAAGAGAAATGGAAAAAAGCATGTTTTTGGAATTACTTGACAAATGTAGAACGAACAAGACTCTCAATGCTACCTCAATGCTGTTATTTACAAGATTTACAAATTTGCTGTTAAGCTGTCTGCTCAGATAGTGGACAATGCAGTGATGCAAAGCTGGACATGTAATATAATGTGGATAAATGGCAGCTTTTGGTAACAAAAATTTGGAGGCAGATTGTTATCTGAATAGCTAAAAATTGATAGAGGGGAATTGTGTAACAAGACCTGGGTACCCTCTTACTCCAGTTGCTGAGGTAAGCATGCAGGTACAGCAGGCAGTAAAGAAGGTAAATGGTGTGTTGGCCTTCATAATGAGAGGATTTGAGTACAGGAGCAGGGATGTCTTGCTGCAATTATACAGGGGCTTGGTGAGACAATATCTGAAATATTGTGCGCAGTTTTGGTCTCTGTATCTGAGGGAGGATGTTCTTGCTATAGGGTTTACCAAACTGATTCCTGGAATGACAGGACTGATGTATGAACAGAGGCTACATCAGTTTGGACTATATTCGCTGGAGTTCAGAAAAATGAAGAGGGAATCTCAGAAACACCTATAAAATTCAGGTTTAGACAGAGTAGGTGCAGGAAGGATGTTGCTAATGATGGGGGTGTTCAGAACCAGGGGTCACAGTCTAAGTATATGGGGTAAACCATTTAGGACTGAGATGAGTAAGAATTCTTCACCCAGAGAGTGATGAGCCTGTGGAATTCACTACAACTGAAAGCAGCTGAAGACAAAACATTGCATGATTTCATTAAGGATTTGGGTATAGCAATTGGGGTTAAAAGGATCAAAGGATCTCAGGGATACCAGGAACAGGGTACTGAATTGAATGATCAGCTATAATCATAGTAAATGTCAGAGCAGGCTCGAAAGGCCAAATAGGGCATCTGCTATCTTGAGCTTTGGGTATCTACCAGAAGCTTCCTTTCCCTTCTTACACAATTCTGTACATCCCCTGCAACTGTTGGTCCCACCCTTCACCTTTACAGCAACATGTTGGCCCTGTGCTCTTGTTATTATCCTTATGAGAGACTTTCACTGCTCTGATGTGGATTTTCCTGCAAGTAGTTACTCCCTGTCCACTTTGGCCAAATCCCATCTTGTCTTATTAAAATTGGCCTTTCTCCAGTTCAGAATCTTTATTTCTAGCCTGTCTTAGTTGTTATCCATAATTACTTTAAATTTTACTAAATTATCAAATTACCAGACCAAATTGCTCCCCACAGCTGCCACAGCTACCACTTGGCCAGCCTCGTTCCTTAAAAATTAGGTCCACCAAATTCCCTCTCTTGTAGACATTTTCATGCTGGCTCGAAAAGATCTCCTGCAAGCCCCTGCTAAGCTTTTTACACTTTGTCTATGCCATTTAATATTGTAGAAGTAGAAATCCCCTATTATTGTTACCTGATTAGAGTCATAGAGCTATACAGCATGAAAACAGATCCTTCGGTCCAACTTGTCCATGCTGACCAGATAGCCTAAATTAATATAGTCCCATTTGCCAACATTTGGCCCATATCCCTCTTATCCCTTCCTATTCATGTACCCATCCAGATGCCTTTTAAATGTTGTAATTGCCACTTCCGCTGGCAGCTCATTCCATAAGCACACCACCCTCTGTGTGAAAAAGTTGTCCCTTAGGTCCCTTTTAAGTCTTTCCCCTCTCACCTTAACCCTATTCCCTCTAGTTTTGGACTCCTCTACCCTGGGGAAAAGGCCTTGGATATTCACCTATCCATGCCCCTCATGATTTTATAAACATCTATAAGGTCACCCCTCAGCTCCAGCATTCCAGGGAAGATAACCCCAGCCTATTCAGCCTCTCCCTATAGCTCAAACCCTCCAACCCTGGCAATACCCTAGTAAATCTTTTCTGAACCCCTTTGAGTTTAACAACACCTTTCTATAGCAGGGAGATCAGAATTGCACGCAGTATTCCAAAAATGGCCTAAACATTGTCTTGTACAGCCGCAATGTAACCTCCCAAATCCTATATGTAGTGCACTGACCAATAAAAGCAAGCATACCAAACGCCTTCTTCACTATCCTGTCTACCTGGGACTCCACTTTCAAGGAACTATGAACCTGCACTCCTAGGTCTCTTTGTTCAGCAGCATTAGTTTTACACTTCTCTGAGATTTGCCTCCATATTTGTCTTTCTATCTCTCCCGGAGTGTTTGGAGGTCTATAGTACACCCTAGCAAAATGACTGCTCCTTTTTTTTGTTTTTAAGTTCTACCAAATGATTTCAATTTAAGGAACTTTCTAAGCTATCATTTCTCCTTACGACAGTCATTGGTTCCTTGATCGATATTGCAACACTATCTCCTCTTTCAACACCTCATATCTTGCCTAAACATTTTATATCCTGGAATATTGAGCTGCCAGTCACATCCCCGTGCACTAATTAACACCCTCAACTCATCTGCCCTACTTGCAAAACATCTAGCATTAAAATAAGTGCCATCCAGCCTTGCCAAGCTCCCTTGTGCCTTAACTCGATTATATTTGCACTGCCTTTTAGACTGACTTGGTTCTTCTGTACCTGCCTGCGCATCATACCCTACTGCATCTCAACTCTGCATCTCACTGCCTTTTCAAATTAGTTTAAACTCCAAATAACTGAACTAGCAAACTCCCTGCACGAATGTTGATCCTGTTTCAGTTCAGGTTCAACCCTTTGGATTTGCACAGGTTCCACCTTCCCCAGAACAGAACTAAGTCATCCAGGAATCTAAAGCCCTCCTTCTTGCTTCAACTCTTTGGCCACACATTTGTTCTATCCACCTATCCACTTCAGGAGAAACAAGATAAACATATGAGAAAGAAAGGAATACAGGGGTAGATTGATGAGTTAGAGGAGGAAGGCTAGGAAGATGCTGGAGTGTGGCTTGAATTCTGACCAGGTCTGATGAGTGAGTGGTTTGATTCCAAACTGTAAATGCCAGGGGAAACACTGTGTGTTAATGTTGCACTTACGTTTACCACCAATCTCTTCACCAAGCAACTTTCCAGTCAGTAAAGTGAAGAGAAATGTCAGTGAGTTTGATAAAAGCACAGCCAGTGACAGATCTGCAATGAATAGACATTTTTTTTATTATTAACTAACCATCTCTCAAAAGCTACAGGAGGAAGAGTAATTGTTGCATCCATTATCAATAAATACCTCACAAATGTGAATTAAAATATAAGATAAACACATTTTACCCTTCCTTGGTCCTGCCCATTTATCTCAAAATTAACATCTTTTAAACAAGTTTTAATTTTAGATGATAAAATTCTGCTTGAAATGGATCTAATGAGATATACCAGCCACCGTTTACAGGAGATAAGTCTCATTCACAGACACAACCATTTGGAAATAATAAGGACATTTTTTATATCAATTCACGGGACGTGGGTGTCGTTAGTTAGGCCAGCATTGATGGGCCATCGCTATCTGCCACCTTCAGAAGGTGGTGCAGAATCTTGAAGGCCAAATGATGTAGGTACACACGGTTATTAGGAAGGGAGTTCCAGTGACAGGTAATGCAAAGCAATATAGTTCCAAATCAGAAGGGGTTGTGGTTTGGAGGAGGACCATTCTGAGGGTCACTGGATCTGAAACATTAACTTTGGTTTCTCTCCACAGATGCTGCCTGACCTGCTGTGCTTTTCAAGCAATTTCTGCTTTTATTTCTCATTTACAGCATCTGCAATTCTGTTAAGTTTTTATTTTGCTACTTATCAACCCAGGCCTGAACACTGTCCAGGTTTTGCTGCATTCGGGTATGAACTGCTTCAGTGTCTGAGGAGTCTCAAATAGTGCTGAATATTGTGCAATCATCAGTGACCATCCCCACTTCTGACCTTATGACGGAGGGAAGGTCATTGATAAAGCAGTTAGGCCTAGGACACTACAGAGGAATGCCCACAGAAATGCCCTGGAGCTGAGATAAATTAGCTCTAATAACCACAACTATCTTCGTATATGCCAGGTATGACTCCAACCAGCTGAGCGGTTTCCTTCTGATTTTTGTTGACTCCAATTTCGCTACAACTCCTTGATTCCCATTTGGTCAAACGCTGGCAGTTAGGTGCACTGGTACAGCCTTCCTAGGATGCAGTTTTGAGCATGGACATCATAAATATTGCCCGAATACTGGCAGAGCTCATGGCCGTTGCAGCATTGAGTGCCATCAACTATTTCTTGATATCACATAGAGTGAATTGAATTGGCTGAAGATTGGCATCTGTGATTCCAGAACCCTCAAGAACAGGCTGAGATGGATCATACACACAGCACATCTGGATGGAAATTGTTGCAAATGCTTCAGCCTTGCCTTGTGCACTCATGTTCTGGGCTCTGCCATCACTGAGAATGGGGATATTTACAGAGGCTCCTCCAGTGGGTCATTTAATTGTTCACCACCATTAGTAGCAAGAAACATGAACAGTGCTCAACAAATCCAGCAGGTCTGGCAGCACCTGTGGACACAGAAACTAAGCTATCATTTTGAGTCCAATATGACTCTACTTCAAAACCTTCAGACTCCACTGAAGAAGAGTCACATCACACTCGAAATGTTAACTCTGTTTCTCACTGCTGAGTTTCTCCAGCATGTTCTGTTTTGTTTCAGATTCCCAACATCTGCAGTATTTTTCTTTTATTTGACCATTTATGACTAGATGTAGCAAGGCTATAAAGCTTAGGTCTGATCTAATGGTTGTGCAACCATTTAAGCTCTGTCTATCGCATGCTACTTCTGCTGTTTGGCACTCGAGGAGTCCTGTGTTATAATTTCACCAGGATGGCAACTTGTTTATAAACGTACTTGTTGCTGCTCTTGACATGCCCTCCTGCACTCTTAATTGTTGCAGGGTTGATTTCCTTGCATTATGATAATAGCACAATGGGGAAATATGCCAAGCTATGAGGTAACAAATTGTGGATGAATACAATTCTGCAGCTGCTGATGACCCATGACAACAGATAAGAATAATTTTAAGTTATGCACACATGCTCCAAATTACACTTACAGTCTCAAATAGTTGGAATTCTATTCATTCATGCGTCATCGGCACTGCTGGCTGGGCCAATATTTATTACCCATTACACGTCCCAATTGCTCTTGAGGAGGTGGGTGGAAGTTGCCTTATTGAATTGCTGTAGTCAATTTGGTGTAGATACAGCACAATGTCTGAGACTTTTTAACCAGTTTTGGTATAACTGTTAGAATTGATAGCCCAGGTGAGTTGGACCGAAGGGTCTGTGTCCATGCTGTACATCCCTATGAATATCCCTTTGAATTTCAGAAGGCAGTTAAGAGTCAACCACATTACTGTGGGTCCGGAGACACATAAGCTTGTCTGCCTCAAAGGTCAGTGTATCAGATGAGCTTTTATGCTAATTGTTTCATTATCATCAATGGACCTCTCATTCCAGATTTTTATCTTTTACTTTAAAGTCCACCACCTGCTATGGTGGGATTCAAGCTCCAATCCCCAAAGCATTACCTGGGTCTCTGGATTACTTGTCCAGTGACAATACCGCTAACCATCGCCTTCTCTCTAGGAACGGGAAAAGCCTCAGAAACTGATAATTGATAAAGAAACTGCAGTAAATAGCAGTGCCTTTAATGAAACATCAGTAATGTAAAGCATTTATTAAAATGAATAGGGACACTGACCTGTAGTTGCTAAAGTGTAGTAGTAGATGACCGATCCACTTTGGTTGAGAAGAAAAGGCACTAAATACTGAAAAACATTAATGAAAGAAAGACAAGAAAACACTGTTCTTCCAACAAGATCAGAAGACGTTGTTTATGTATTGTCTGGAGTCTGGAATGGGCCTGGTACTTTGCTCTGCCTTTTAAAATCCTTATTCCAGACAGACTAATCCAGGTAATTGTAACAGGTATTAATTACTGAGGTTATTTTACAGGCAAATGTGAATCCAGGTCCAGCTCAGAGCCAGACAACACACTGAGATATCCCAGTGGATTTGCTGTGATTGCACTCATGTTCAACGAGAGGATATATTATTCCTTCCTATGCTATGCTCAAACTACTATCATGGTTAACAAACCAGATGCATTCAATTTTTTTGTTACAGCATATTACAGTTGAGTTAGCAATCTTTTTCTTGTTCAAAGTCTAAATTTACACTAACGTCAGTAAGTTTGTGGATGACACCAAATTTTATGGTATAGTGGACAGTAAAGAATGTTATCTAAGATTACAAAAGATCTTGATCAATTGGGCCAATGGGCTGAGGAATGACAGATGGAGTATAATTTGGATAAATGCAAGCTGTTGCATTTTGGTAAAACAAACAAGGGCAGGAACTATACAGTTAATGGTAAGGCCCTGGGGAATGTTGTAGAACAGATAGGCGTAGGGGTTCAGGTACTTAGTTCTTTGAAAATTGCATTGCAAGTAGACAGGGTGGTTAAGAAGGCATTTAGCATGGTTTCTTTCATTGGTCCATTGAGTATAGGAGTCATGTTGAGGTTATACAAGACATTGCTGAGGTCACATTTGGAGTTCTGTGTACAGTTCTGATCATCCTCCTATAGGAAAGATATTATTAAGTGGACAGGGTTCAGAAGAGAGTTACAAGGATGTTGCCAGGACTGGAGGGTTTGAGTTATAAGGACAGACTAGGGACTTTTTTCACTGGAATATTGGAGGTTCAGGATAACATTATATAGATTAGGTAAATAGCAAATGTCTTTTCCAGTGTGTAGGGGAGTTCAAAACTTGAGGGCATATTTTTAAGGTGAGAGGAGAAAGATTTAAAAGGGTCTGAGGGGCTGCCTTTTCACACAGAGGGTGGCTCGTATGTGGGATGCACTGCCAGAGGGAATGGTAGATGCAGTTACAGTTACAACATTTAAAAGGCATTTGGGCAGGTATATGAATAGGAAAGGTTCAGAGGGATGTGAGCCAAACGCAGGCAAGTGGTAGTTTTGTTTGAGAAATCTGGTTGGCTTGGATGAGTTGGACCGAAGGGTCTGTTTCTGTGCTGTATGACTCTATCAGTGGCCTTAATTGTGAACAAAAGGTCTTTGAACCTTAATTTTTAAAAGGAAATCCAAAATATAGAGAAAGAAGTTGCAATACGGTCCAGATTGTGGGTGGTTAGGCATTAGATCAAAGTAACTGCAAGTAGCAGTAATTGAGAATTAGCACGGCCATCGAGATTCATCATGAAGGACTGTTAATCCTAAACTTGGAAAGGAAGGTTTGTTGTGACAGAGCACTGGAAAAGCCCAGGGGAAAAATGGGGGCTGTTATGGAAAGTTGCAGCACTGGCAGGAGAAGTGACATTCAGAATTATTGGGAAAAGGGTCTGAAAACATTTGGAGAAATCACTGAGAGTAGCACTCCAGGATGGGAGGGATGTGGGAGTACTTGGAGGTCATTGTGGGTAATTCTGCTAACAAAGCAGTGACAAGAGATTTTCTCAGAATAAAGCTTTCAAAATATTATACCTAGCTGTCTCCCAGTGTCTTAAGCATCATTCCTTCTCAATTCACATCACCACAGAGTAACCTGTCTCTGTGCTGACTGTGGAATCTTCTTGTGCATAAACTGCCTATCCATTGCATTCACAATAACAGCTCCTGCCTAAACATTGCTAAAAGGAGACTAAAAGTTGAAGCTTTTTGTCTTGTTCTCATCAAGAATGCAAAAAAAACTTTTAAAAATGGACATCGATTTATACAGAATGAGAGAAGCATGCTGTATAAATCGATGTCCATTTTCATAAGTTTTTTTTGCATGCTTGAAGAGGAAAATTCTGATTTGGCAGTATCTCCATCTCCATACAGCTAAGATTGGCAGTCCTCTTAGCCATATCTTTTCTCCATGAAAAAGGTGCAATGTACATATAAATTCCTGTTGACTACATGAAACAGGGTCCTGAGTATTTTTGTATGTAGCTGCGAATATGCGCACTGCGGGCCCCACTGATGATCTTCATTTCCAGTGTTATTCTCGGTGCAGACTGAGTTATTTAATAAATGATTTGCAACAACAGAATCACATCGAATGGTGGATATACTTTTCTGAGCCTGGCAAGCATGGGCAGGTTGAGTGTGAATGGCTTGCTTCCAGTTGAGAATGGTCAGTGGGAATTGTTGTTTAATGTGGTTCGTCAGTCGATAGATTTTATGACCTATAGGCCTGCCAAACACCACATACTAGGTCTTGTTATCACATGGTCTGCAATTGTTGGCCACCAATAGTTGATATCAGCAGCCATTCATTCTCCTAGGTTGACCATTATCCCTCCTTTGTCTGTCCAACTGTTCTTCTATCTCTTTGGGATCTAGCTGCACATATTGCTTGCTCCTTACCCCCTCCCATCACCCTATCTTCTGCATTACAACCATCTCTTTTCCCAGCAACAAAAACAGAAATTGCTGAGGAAGGGTCACTGGACCTGAAATGTTTACTCTGATTTCTCTCCACAGACACAGCCAGACCTGCTGAGCTTTTCCAGCAATTTCTGTTTTCGTTTCTGATTTCCAGCATCCATAGTTCTTTTGGTTTTTTTAAACTCTGGTCAGAGTTTGAACAGGTCAGTCAGAAAGACTGGGGTGCAAACACTAACCAGCTGCAAGGATCACAGTCATTCTGGAACAGCTAGAGAGCAGGAGGGAGATCGTGGTAGTGGTGATGGTGTAATAGTGGCTGTAATGATGGCCGTGTCAGAGTTGGAGAACTGGGCAACACCAGTAAGAAAATATCAATTCAGTGAATTGTTCTATGGGTTCAGTTGAACAGTTTGATAAGGTTAGGGAAAAAACAACGAAAAGCAGGAATGGACTCTCTCAGAATTGCAGCATGCAGGCTGTCGAAAAGTGATTGCTAAACTTGGTCTTGTGCTGTTAAGAAATGAACACTGGCTTTGTGGTTTTGTTTGGTGTGGAGAAAGGATGATCATAAAATTACATTAATGACAAATCATGACTAGGTTTACAACAGTGGCTCAGTGATTAGCACTGCTGCCTCACAGCACCAGGGACCTGGGTTCAATTCCAATCTCGGGTGACTGTCTGTGTGGAGTTTGTACATCCTCCCCATGTCTGTGTGGGCTTCCTCCCACAGTGCAAAGATGTGCAGGTTAGGTGGATTGGCCATGGGAAATTGCCCATAGTGTGTCGGTCAGATGGATAAGCCATGGTAAATGCAGGGTTGGGGTAGGGGAGTGATGCTCTTTGAAGAGTCGGCATGGACTTGTTGGGCTGAATAGCCTGTTTCCACACTGTAGGGATTCTATGATCATTCACCAATTAAATTTTTACTTGAAATAAAGATGGCTAAAGATAAAACCTGGTGATTCTCCTGCTGGCAGTTCACATGATTTTAGGAATGCAATACAGTACGGCATTTCAAAATAATTTTCTTACCTTGTAATTAAGAAATAAAAACTTAATCTCTGCAAAGAGTTGAATGACAATGTTTCTAGACTTAACCTTCTCTATTCCCTCTGTGCCCTTCTTCAGAAAAGGGTTTGTTCCACCCCAAAGCAGTGCCACAAGGAGGAGGCAGCAAACTTCCACTGAAACAGAAGACATGGACCAAGACTCTAAGCAAATCACATTGATTGATATTTCAGTTCCATCGGTGACATATCAAGAAAAACTTTATAATATGAGGCCAAGCCAATATTCACCACAACATGATGAATAAATTGACAAAGACTGACATTTTCCTAGCTACCATCAGTTCTGAGGAAGGGTCACTCAACCCAAAATGTTAACTCTGATTTCTCTCCACAGATGCTGCCAGACCTGCTAAGCTTTTCCAGCAATGTGTCATTGTTTCACCAGAACATGGGTGTTTTGACTTAAATAAGTAAAAAATTATGCAATGTCCTGTGTGCATGCAATGTGTCAATTTCAAATTGTATGAAGTAATATTAATCAGCTTATTGGTATAGCATGTGGTACTCATGCACAGCAGAATTACAGGGACTACAATAATGTCATGAACCAAGAACACAAATTTCAAACCTCCATTTCAAGGGCACAGTATAGACAGAATCCATTTGGCACAAATATTGCATGTTGTTTTAAAGTAACATGCAACTTTCCTGCAGATATCAGCAAATAGTTTCAAGGACTGCAATTTCGCCCCCTCAGTGGTCGAAAACGTCCTCAACTGCATCTCTTGCGTTTCCCGCGCCTCAGCCCTCACACCCCCTCCCTGCAATAACAACAAAGACAGAATTCCCCTTGTCCTCACATATCACCCCAGTAACCTCTGGATTCAATGCATCATTCTCCGCCACTTCTGCCACCTGCAATCTGACCCCACTACCAAGGATATATTTCCCTCCCCACCCTTATCTGTCTTCCAGAAGGACCACTCTCTCTGCGACTGCCTCGTCCGCTCCACACCACTCACTAGCCCCACCACCCCCGGCACCTCTCCCTGCAACCGCAGGAAGTGCTAAACCTGCCCCTATACCTCCCCCCTCACCTCCATCCCAAGCCCCAAAAACACCTTCCACATTAAACAGACGTTCACCTGCACATCCGCTAATGTGGTCTTTTGTATTCGCTGTTCCTGATGCGGCCTTCTCTCCATCGGGGAGACCAAGCGGAGGCTTGGAGACCACTTTGTGGAGCACCGACACGTGGTTCGCAACAAACGACAACACCTCCCAGTCAACTCCCCCTGCCACTCCCTGGACGACTTGTCCATCCTGGGCCTCCTCCAGTGTTACACTGATGCCAGCACCTCGCATTCCGCGTGGGAGCCCTACAACCCAATGGTCTCAATGTGGACTTTACTAGCTTCAAAATCTCCCCACCCCCAACCTCATCCTAAGACCAGCAACCCCCTCAACCCCACCTCCTTGACCTGTCTGTCTTCCCTCCCACCTACCTGCCCCCTCCCTCCTCATTGACCAACCCCAACTCCCTACCTACACTCCATCCCCGCCTCCTTGACCTGTCCACCTATCTGCTCTTCTATCATCGTCTCACCTTCTCTCTATTTATTTCAGAATCCCCTTTCCCTCCCCCATTTCTGAAGAAGGGTCCAGACCCGAAATGTCAGCCTTCCTGCAGCTCTGATGCTGCCTGGCGTGCTGTGTTCCTCCAGCTCCACAGTATGTTATCTTATTTGAGAAATGCACAATTGTTTTTCAATAAAGATGGCTGTGTTTGTGTAATTCCTGATCATTTGATCAACTCGTGGGGACTGAGATGGTTTGAATTCTGAGCTTTTGCTAGTAAGGAGGGAAAAAAAGAGCCCTCAATCCTGCTATCTACCCAACAAGATCAGAGAGGAGCAATTGACCAGAGGGAGGGAGTGAGTGAGAGTGACCGTGACTGCAGGGAAGGAGGGGGAGGGAGTGAATGAGAGTGAC